CAAATTGATATCAGGGTCAGTTCTTAACTGCAGAAAGATGAGTTGGCTGTGAAATGAGTATCCAGCAATCATCTCTCCATTATGTCAGCCAGAATGCAAGCAGAACTAAGTTGCACCATTCAAGAACTATGTTTGCTGATGAGATTTTAAAGAAAGCCTCACTTTGCTCCACCCTGGCCCAGTGCTTCTATCACACCCATCTCATATTCATTACAACCCTATTTTTCTCCAAGGATAACTTTCCCTCTTGTGACTTATTTAAAGATATTTTTAGTTCCTTAACAAAGTCTGTTTTATCAGTCTCTTGTTTTGTATATTGAATAGGATGTTGGGTTTTGGAAAGGGAGATGAAAAGGGAATGAGGTCTATGTCTCCTTCTAAAACGCCAACCATGTATTGGCCCTTTGGATAGAGTGGAGAATCAGTGTCACACAGGATCTGGCCTAGTCATCTCCTTTAAGGAGAAGTAGGAAAGCATCCCCTTGGAGGCCTGCCCATGTCCCCCTCCATTGTTCAGCAATAACAGATCTGATTCTACACTGAGTTCTTGATCTTCCCTAGAACACATTTGGGTACCACATAATTATGTTAGTTACTTGTATTGCTGTTACAAATTACTCTCTGAATTTCAGTGACTTAGCACCCTACATGTTTATTGTTCATTCATATTGAGTTAGTGCAATGTGGTTCTTAGTAAGTGGGTTCTGCTAGAACCACATGGTCATTTAAGGTCCAAGTCTCCGGGAAGCTCAGCCATCTTCCAAGGTCACCTTGGGATGTCAGCGACCAGATTGGAGTTATTGAAAGAGCATGAAAGATTGTTTGCATATAAGAGGTTTTCATGGGCGAAAGTCTGAGAATCACCGCCTCTCTTCCATAGTCTGAAACTCGGGCCTATAGCTACCACCAACTGCAGTGGTGTACTGGGAAATCAAGTATTGGGTTGCAAAAAATGCCTGCTACTCTGGGTTTCAGGATGATGATAAATTTCCCACTTGTATTAGAATGTGTGTCTTAGATGGCCCTGTTTTTCTCTACCAGTACAGATGGAATGAATTGTTTTCCTATAGTAATTGATTTTGCTTTAAAAATCATTTGGGAATTGAAATAGACAGTAACATTTTTATTTTCCTTTTCTATTACAATGCACATACTGAAGAAATGGGAAAGCCAGATATTTGAAGGCTTTCCTTGTAGCTTGTTATAAATACTTTTCATTAGGAGAGTCTACCCTTCTCTTTCCCATGTGGCTGACTGCTTTTTGAAACACCTCCTGTGTGAAATCCCCTAGGCCTCTTCCTCCTCCCCCTGTTCCCCAGGCACAGTTAGGGTTCGCCTCCATGCTGTACTAGAACTTGTGCACACCTATGTTAGTTTTATCTGTTCATCCACTCACTTTTCCTAGCACTTATGATACAAGAGGAGGAGGGAGGAGAGAAGATGATTGTAATTCACTGTGAAAGAATCACATACTGAGCAGTGCAAGGACCTGGGGAAAAGGTACCGCTGCCTTGGGAATGAGGAGAGGTAGATACGCCTCTTTTAGAGGGAGGAGGTTTGATCCACATCTTACTTACTTGTGGATACTTTTCCTCCCCCAGAGGAGGAGGTTTGTGAGAAAAAGAACCCCATTTTGCTCGTCTCTCATTCTCGTACCCAGTCCAGTGCCAGGCTCATACTGGATATTTAGTAAACTGAATTGACTGAGGCTTTAGGTCAATAAATTTGTAAGCTTTATTTACTACATAGTTTCCTCCACGTGATCTCATACGCACCTTACAACAGCTCTATGGTGGGGCAGATTCTCTTCTTCCTGGTTTATAGATAACCCAAAAGCAGTGAAATTTGGTGTTTTGATATTATAAATTGGATTAATTGAAGACATTTCAGATATTATGTACACAATTTTGTGTATCTTTCGCTCTGGAAACAAATATTTATCAAAATAGTGACTTGAAATGTGTAGCATTTGCTTTGAGGCTAGGACACTAGACTGACTGGGTCCCTTTGAATGATGAAGGCTTTTCCTTTACACTGAGACAAGCAAAAATGATCCTTTTCACAGAAACAAAAAGATGGTTCTTCTACTCTGTTTGGAATTCTTTGTATGCCCACCAGCACAGTGTTTTGTACCCAGTAGGTGCTCTATAAATATTTCTTAAATAATAGACAATGTGTACCTCAGATTCATCTAAATGAACAAACTTCCTGTTAGAGACTGTCATAAACTTTCCCATATAATCATCATGTCACAGGGAACAAAATTTACCTGTGCTGTTTCCTCATTCAAGGAGTTTTTTAGCACATGAGCATGGCTCCTGGCTTCTTCACGTACTTCTGGAACATGCACCTGTAGAGTCTGCCCAAGTATCCTTCGTGTAGAAGTTGAGACTGAATGTTCTTACCAAAACAGGTGGAGAAAATTTGCAATCTCGTTTTCATGTCTCTTGACACCCTAAAAATCTCTCCCTTAGTATCAGAGTTCACGATGGACAGTAGTTTCTTCCATCTCTGACTTATCCATATTTCACACCACAAAGGAATCAGTCTTCTGTACAGGAGTACTACGATGTGGTGACTGTTAAAACAGCAGCTGACTAAGGGTGAAGGAATGCATAGCTCATACAGGTATGAATTTCCACATAGATGTTCTGCTTCACTTCAGATGTGTGTGTCTGAAGACAGACTCATTTTGCATCTTCTGCTCCTTTCCCGACGCCCCTCCTGCACCCTAGCACCTTCTCCTGTTGCCCATAGCTACCATCTCATGCAGTCGGAGGCTCCAGACCACGAAGACATCCTGACTGTTGACTCCTTTCCTTTGTACTGTGCATCTAGTTCATATTCATGGCACACTGCATTGATCCCTAAATTATATTTGGAATCTGGGGATTTGAGATTGTTTTAAAGCCAGGTCCAAGTGTATTTCCTATTTTCCTTATAGTTATGAAATCATGGGAAAGGAACTGAGAGCCCGGTAAGAGTTTACTGTCAGATCAGCAAGAGGGTTTGGGCTGAAAAGATAGAAATTGAAAGAAAAAGAAATTTTTTTTTTTCAAAAGTGTGGGTACATATTCTCCTTTGCCAGGTAATGTGAATATTGTTAAAAATAAATGTAAGGAATTTCTGGCAAATATCCTCAGCAAATCTAAGTGCCACATGGTTGTTCTCTGGCACAATGATATTATACAGAAATAAATTTCACTAAGGCACAGAAATTGTAACTGGGAAAAAAACCTTAAGTTTGATGTTTGTAAACTAACTTCCAAAAATTGTAAGCACTTAAACATTTTAAATGTATTCCGTGAAAACTTCATAGAGAATATCAGCTATTCTCTTGCATCCCTGAGGCTCCAAGGCTTTGTAGAGATAATTTCATATGTGTGTTGTTGTGAGTGTAACATAAGCAAGTGATTAACTAGGTTACAATGAGGAGCATATTGTGATGACTATAGCGATGGCATCCGCTTCCTCAAAAATGCGCACGGTGTACCAGGTCCTGGTGTTTTCTTGTTATTGCATTTTAAATCATGTCGCTATCAGTACGTTTATCAAGTTTGAAGTATGTCTTCTGTGAATACAAATGCCACAAGAACAATAACTCTGTTATTTGAAACTGGGGGTTTTATTCCAGAAGGATAAATTGGATGCTGAAGTATGGTCTTGTTATCTCGATTTGTGCCTAGTTACATTGACAGTATAAGCAAAAATAAGTGTATAATGTAGAGTTTAAATATTTTTAACTAAACAAAAAAATACCCCGCCACCATATTTGGGGACCCCTTACCCTTGCTCCTATCCACGCCGTCTTGTCTTTCGGTAGCCTCCGTTTTCCTGTGGTCAAAAAACATTTTTTTTTAAGATGGTTTTAATGTGAGAAGGCATTTTTCTTCATATATTTGAGTAAGAATTCATCTCATCATCTCTGGAAACACTTGCTTTTTCTAAAATCCTGTAACCAGGAGACAGACTAGATGTGAGGAGTTGTTCAGTGTGTGTGACAGGCACATGGAAGGTGGCTGGTATGCATGTAAGGAATGAGGAGATGGACAGGTGAACAAAAATAGACTGGTGATGGTGAAAGGAACCTGAACTCTGCTTCTGTTTTCACTTAACAGGAATATATTTTTCACTTTGTTTTAGTTTATATTTCTAAGAGCAAGATAAATGCCAAGTTTTAGAAAGGCAGACCCACCTTTCTTATTAATCATTACTAGGGAAACACCATTAGCCTCGGCCCACTACCTAATGGCATTTTAATCTGCAGGAAATCCAAGAGAATGCTTTGGAAAGTTTCTGTAATTGAGGCTCAGTGGTGCCCATTATGCATTTAGAAATTTAAGAAATGGGGCCTCCCTGGTGGTGCAAGGGGTTAAGTCTCAGCACTTTGAAGCTATCTCTAGCCACTTCAGCACAAGTTTGATCCCCGGCCAGAGAGCTACCCACATGGTGCGGCAGACTCTCCTGTCAAGTGCGCTGCTCCCCTAAGCAGTGTATTTTAGTAGATCCGCCTGTTCTGCTCCCCACTCTGTCTCTGGTGAATACTCTCACCCTCCTACCTCTGGCCTACACCCCAGCTCTTGTATGCATGAATAAATAAAAATAAATATATTTTAAAAATGAAAGTTAAGAAATGGATGTCAAGAGTATGTGGATTTCAATCCCATGTTGTTGAAATAATAATAATCACGTGTCAGAATTCTGGAAAGGTTAAAGCCTTTTCTTACTGTTGTGTTAATATATCATCAACAAAATAATGTTAGGCACACTTAATGAAAGTGACATTGTTGTACTTATCCTGAACTTACTCTTCAACCACAGAATAATAGAATTAACAGAATACTAAGGTTGTAAAGCTTCAGTACCGAGCGATGAAGGTCGATGAATTTTTCTCATTAATTATTCCAGTGTCAAATTCTTGCAAGTTAATTTTGTTCTGCCTAAGACTAAAGAAATGAACAATAGAGTATCCTTTCATGTTTTCTGTTTTTGTTTTGCAGGGGAAGATGGTGAAAGGAATGGGAGGTGCTATGGACCTGGTATCCAGTGCTAAAACCAAAGTGGTGGTCACCATGGAGCATTCTGCAAAGGTAAGTGCTGCTTTTGGAAATCCAGTGTGCCAGGTCACACAGCAGCAGTTTTCATTGCTTTCTTCGCCTCATTGGAGTTGATAGCACTTATATTTTAGAGAGAAATAAAGGCAGTTACTTATCATCATTCAGCTAAATGGTTATTTAGCTATTTGTGCAGCAACATAGGGACTTCTTTGATTGTGTGCCTTACATACCCATAAAAGTAAAAGTTATAATGTCTTCAAGAGCAGTGAAAAGTTGTCTGGGCAGATGTGTTGATTCAGGTTTAAAGATAATTATAGTGATTGCTATCTGTGTGCAAAATAAAAGCACAACTGAATATGGGGTTTTAACAGGAGTTATTTTCAAAAGGGCAATGTGGTATCTTACCAAGGCTGTGGTGTAGCATTTATAGTAGGTGATAGAAATAGTGGACTTGGTGTGATAGTGAACACCCTTACTGAAAAGTATTATACTTCTATTTATATAGATCATCAAATATTTATTGAGTGAAAATTGTATGGTAGGCTCTGCTAGGCTTTGGCAGTGGCCAAAAGTAGACAAAAATCACTGACCTCGTGGAGTTTATATTTGGTGATGATGGTGATGATAAAACCATCCTATAATGACAGTTACCACTTATGGAGCTTATTATGTACCACCAGTATATTCTGCATGCGTTTGCGTGTACAAGTTCATGGACTTGATAGAGGTATTTTTTATGGTTCTGGAAATAAGTGCAGAGAGGTTAAGTGACTTGCCTGAAGTCACACAGCTAGTGGAACTGAGATTATAACTGAGTGTGTCTGACTCTGAGTCTAACTACAGAAGCATCACTATAATTTTCTTCCTGTTCCCATCTCAGAGTCCTTGAACCAACTGAGCTATTGCCAAATCCATGGACTTATGATTTGCCAAGTTGATATCGAGTGGTACCCTCTTTATTTATTTTGCCCTTTATTCATTCTCCTTTGTCTTTTTAATTCTTAGTTTTAAAACAAAATCTACCTGTTTTTCACCGTTAGACCTGCTGATTTGCTTAGAAGTGGTAATTCTCTTGCTGGCTGTTTTATAGACGCAGCACTGTAGGAGAATGTGGAGCTTTGGCAGATTTGCATCTCACTTGCCTCCCATGGGAAAGTTCTGTTACCGAGTAAAGTGAGCCATGAAGCAGTTTTGTTGTGAAAACTGTAATAGATATGAAATTATCATAACTTGTTTAGTAAACAGTGGAAAGTGAGCAGTGGTGCATAAATAGGGAACAACAGAAATGAAATCAACACAGGTGACTTTTGAGAGAGACCTTGCAAGCGCATCCAAAGTACTTCATTTCAGATGCAGAAAGATGCCAGGCATGCAAATCAAGGCCAGATCTTTTCCAGAACATCAGAACAAAATGTCTATTTGGGGAAAGTTCTTTTTGACTTTCCTTTTGTTGTTACTTTAAGGCTGATGCATAGGCACTGATGTCCGACTCATTTCAGATCGTTTTTGTGCATCCATTTTCAAAACATTAGGTCTGTATTTGGCAAATTCTGTCTCTCCCCGCCCACCCCAACCAAGTTTTTTTTTTTCTCCTCTGTTGGAATTTTCAGTGAGGAAAACAAATGGTCCCACAAACTTTGATTTAGAAATCCCATATTAAGATTTTCAAATAAGCAAGGTAGTATTTTTACCATTTCTTTTTGATTTTTCTGGGGCGGGGGGGAGTTGGGTGGAAGGAGGCATTGGCATAGAATTAGACCAGAATTGAAACTAGGTATTTTTATTTCTTATTTATTTATTTTTTTCTTACATCGTTGTGGTCCCCATAGTTCTCCCATCACCACATCACCCGTGAACCATCACCCTATCCCTTGTGTTGATCCCTCCCTCCTCTCCTTTACTATATGGGAAACTAGGTATTTTTCACAAGATACTTTCATTTGAAAAAAACTAAACATGTACTTGTGACTAAAATAATTGCAATGATTAGTTCACTCTCGATACTTAAATAACCTCGAAAACTAGCCAATGCAATTTGCTCATCTTGCCACCTTCAATCTTTGTATCGTTGCCACTATATGTTTTTACACTGGGTCCACTATTACTGGCCCAGCTCAGGGGAACATGGAGACTTTATTTCTTCCCTGGGTCTTTTACTCTAGCTAAAGGTTGGTAGGGATTGGAAATGACATAGGGAGGAGAGGTTTCTTTTTAAAAAAAATTATTACTGAAATGACATTGCATGATAACATTATATAAGTTTCAGGTGCGCATCATTACAAATCAGCACGTGTATCTGTTACATCAAGTTCATCACTATAAGCCCAATCTTACCCTCCACTATACAGCTGTCCCCTTTTACCTGATTGCCCCCCGCCCACCCCCCAGTCCCCCTGTCCTTCTGGTAACCACGCATTGGTCTTACAGTCGTAATGTTCATTTCTGTTTTATTTAGTGCATCTGTTTGTTTGGTGTCTCTAGGTACCACATAAGCGAAATCACAGGGTATTTGTCTTTTTCCTTCAGACTTCACTCAATAAATTACCTTCCAGGTCCTTCCATGTTGTAGCAAATGGCAGGATTTTAGGTTTTTTTATATGTACCGGCACACCACGTTCTCCTTTACCCACTCATCTGGTGCCAGGCATGCAGGTTATCTCAGCTCTTGGCTACTGTAAACAATGCTGCAGTAAACAGGAGGTACATGTGTCTTGCTGAATTCGTGTTTTTTGGGTAAATGCCCAGAAGTGGGATAGCTGGATTGTATGTTATTTCTGTTTTAGACAGGAAAGTTTTTTTGTTTTGTTTTAATTATCTCCGGTTAATGTTCCATTCTTTCAGACTTGCCAGTTAACTTCTACTGCCTATGATTGAGTGAACAGAGTAGGGGAGTAATCCCTAGTGTTGTGTAAGACACAAGAATAAGAAGTTTGCAAGAAAGGAGACTAAAACCTGAGAAAAGAAATATATTTTTGTGCTGCTGATTTTTTTTTTTAATAAGTGGGTGGAGTTGTCAACTGGTTTTTAGGTGCAGCTTTTTTTTTTTACTCCTTCATCTGTGGGGTTAGAGAGCCAGGTTACTTATAAATATAGTGTTATTTGTCCTTTAAAAACATGTTCTTTTGTTGTTTTAATCAGACAAAGGAAACTCTTTCCTTTGTGATCAGCAGCAACTTCTTGAATTTGAAACCCGAGTGCCTATTTTTGCAAAACGTTTTCCCTTCCTTAAAACTACCTCTACAGGTGAGGGGGGCACTGGTGTCAGAGTAGTGTGGGAGTGTGATTTCCATTTCACCTTAGACATCAGGCTTCCAGGCAAAATTGCCAAGTAGACAAAGTTTTTTGCTATCCAGTCACCTTCTTTCTTAAGCCTGTTTTCATCTATTAGCATAACTTTCTTCTACTCTTTAAAAATGGTGCAAAAAAGAAGGAACTCAGAGTCTTTACTCAGTATAGCCCTGTTTGTTCCTTGCTTTGCACACATTGGGTCTCACTAGCTCAGTGACCCTCTGAAGTAAGACTGGGGTGTGGGCAGGTAAGAAACTTGCCCAGGTGTGTGACACAGGTAGGCTTTTCACTCAATTTGGTCTAGCGGTGTCCCTCGTACCTCTCACACCACATCCTCACCAAAGCTACCTCTTCATCAGCTTCCTGCCTGTGCCCTCCCTTTTCCAGATACCCTGGCTTTCAGAACTCTCTCTTTCTCTCTTTTTTTCATTTTCCCTTGTCAGAACTCTCCTTGCTTTGGTGAGATGGGTACAGAGAAGAAAACAATCTGAGCCTGCAGTTGTGCCATGTTGTACCTATCTCCCCTACTTTCCCTTTGTGTTAAGAGCCTCTGAATTTTAACTGGGCACACAGCAGCTAGTGGTGGTATTTCCCAGACTCCCCTGTGTGTGGTTGTATCCATGTGCCAATTTTGGGTCAGTAGGATTAGGACCTATGGATTATGTGTACGTTCTGAGTCTTGACCTTAAAGATCAAGCCAATTTCATTGTAGTTTGTTGGTTCCCGCTTCTGGCCATCTGAGAAAGGCCTGATCTGCAGCAGTAGCCTTGGGCCCAGCATTGTAAACCATCCCGGGGGTGCAGAGATGTCCCCTAGCCTGGGCCCATAGGTGCCCTGAGCCTGCCTTTATAGCTTCTGGACTGGACTCCTCAGAACTCCATCCTTGGTCTGCTCTCTCACCTTCCGCATCTTCGGTGGGTGCTAGCTGAAGTTTTGGCACCAAATGCTGTTTTCCCCTCAGTGGATCCCTATTCCTGATTTCCAGATTGGAATCCTCTGATGCGTGCTAGAGCTGTGTATCTCACTCCTGTTGGACAACTCCCCACCCCCACCTGCTTGTTCCACAGCCACTTCAACTGTAACACACACAAATGAAATCATCACCATTTCCCCTAAATATCTTCTTCCATCTGCTTGGCCCAATCCAGAAGTCAAGATGGATGGTGTTGAAAAGCCACCCTGGTTCTTTCTGCTCCTGCTCCACACAGTGTAAATATGGCATCAGTGACACGCCTGTCATCCGCCCCTGCCTCTTGCATCCCTTGTTTCCTCTGCAGCGATCACTGTGATGGCATCCCATAGGGGTTGCCGCCAGACTGACCTTCCTTCCTGGTAACCAAGCTCGCCACCGCCAGAGTGACTGGTCTAGAACTAGAGCTGGGTCAAGTCTGTCCACATTGCTTGGTTCACTGTACGCCACCAGGCTACTGTGACCAGCTTGCTGTTTTCCCTGTTGTCCATTGAGTTCAAGCCATACTCTCTTCCTATAAGTTTCTGGAATATTCCGAGCATCTTCCTGTCTCAGGGTCTTCGCAATTGTTGTTCTCTGTGCCTCGACTGGTTTTCTTTAGGTAATCTGTGTGGCTGGTTGCTTCAATTCAGTCAGGTCTGTACTCAAAATATCGGAGAAGCTTTCCATGACTGTTCTATTATATAAAACAGAAGTCCTCTTTTGATGATCCTTCATGTCTTTCTTCACTTGAATGTGAGCTCCATGAGGACAAGTGCTTTGTTCGTCATTAGCA